TACATGTAATAAATCCGTTGGTATATAATCCAAGTGTATCCTAGTAATATAAAATATTAAAACTGATCTACAAAAGAGCTCAATGTATTTATTATAAGAGAACATATAAATAGTATTACACAACAAAATCTAAAATCAAAATCTAAAATATATATATATTATATATATTATATATATATATATATATATATATATATATATATATATATATATATATATATATGGACAAATGTTCGTTTGTGAGGATTAAGTGTGTAGAAACTGTTTACTCCTTTCTTAAAAAGAAAAAAGAAATTACAAAAATAACCCTTCTCCGTTATATTTAACGAAACATGCATAATAGAAGGATTGCTGGCCAAATATACAATATAAGCGCACGCGCGTGCGTGCGCGTTTAATGCAATATGCAATTTCTCTTAATGAATCAAAATGGTGCTAATCAGTCTCTAGATGTATTAAGTTGCTCGACCCTTTAACTGAGTCAGGCGAAGAAGTTTACATGAGCGACTAAGCAGTTAGCCCGGAAATATATACGATTGATTAATTCATGTGGAAGTTCAGCGGCCGGATGTCATAAGAATTAATTATTTCAATTGTCAACTGGGATTGAAATCAAATTTGAGGACACGGAGAAAGAAAGCGGGAAAAAAATATTTGGCAACAGTTTGTTGCAGTTAGTAAGATGAAGCACCCAATAGTTCGTAAGTTTTTGGTTATATTCATTAGAAAATTACAATTAATTTTTTCATTTTGTTTTCTATGTATTTGATATGACAGGTTTATCAGCGAGTTATTATTTCTTTTTCTATTTAATTACTATACAGGTTGCGATGAGTAAATTGTCGCCATTACATATATTTTCAATTTTGCACAGGCGCGTTGTTTGTTTTGATTTTGTTGACAGCAAATTATAGTGGGGTCAGTTGGGCACCGTCTGTAAGAAAAAGTGTAACAAGAAGCAATTAGCTCCGCCAGAAATTTGGAAACAGCTTGATGTACTGCTTGGCATTTGCTCCGGAATATCTAATACGATCATTTCAGAATGTTTGGGTTTCAATCTGAGGACAGTGTAGAGGATTCAGAAAGTGTTGGATGAGTCTAATGATGATTACGAAGGTATTTAGAGTGATTACTAGTGATGACGAAGTTATACCTCCTTTCATATTCCCACAGAGTCTCAGCCTCAACTCAGACACCTACCTCAAGTGCATCGAGAAATTAGTGCTGCCTTGGGACAAGAGGATGGTTGCTGGAAAAATCCTATGTCTGGCAGCAGGAGAATCCAGTCATGACTGTATGACAATTTCTGCCACCATATAACTCCTTGGATCTGACTACCAAACTCTCCTGACTACAAGCCCCTTGATTATTATATGTGGGGCGCAGAGAGACCAACAAAATGTAATCAACCCAATCACCCCCCCAGAACGAAGGATGCGGGGGGGTATACAACAACTTGATAGAGAGACCAAAAAAAAAAAAAACTCCTTGTAACACCAATGATGAACTGAAGGCAAGAATTATGTCAGCATTCACTAACTTAAACAAGTAGACCGTTCAGAAGAGTTGCAGGAGATTCCGAAGTCGCCTAGAGTCTGTTTTTATTGGGTCAAGAGAGTGGCGATTTTATTGGGTCAAGGGTGTGGCTGTTGGAAGACACTATGTCTGGCAACAGGACTCCTTGTAATACTAAAAATGAACTAAAGCCAAGGATTATGATAGCCTAAACAAGGAGACTGTCCATAAGAGATGCAGGAGGTCCTGAAGTCGTCTGGAGTCTGTGGTTGAAGTCAATAGCTATTTTATTGAACAAATTTAATCTTTCGCATTTCAAGATATTTTTGTGTAATTTTGGTAGATATATCTGTTAAAATGAGATGTCAGTTTTATTTTCATTTTTACTTAATTTAGATTGACAATTTATCTATTTTAGAAAAAATATAAATTCGTCAAATAGATGTTACAAGAGTAATGGTTCTTGTCTGTGAATCCAGAAGCCTATTTGGGTTGAATTTCAATCACGTTCTTTGTAGCGAGACTTTCAAATATTTATCACGTTTGGAATCTGAAATAAACCGAGTCTACTTGAAACTGTGCACTTGCTTGAAATTTGCGTTGACATTCGAATACAGACTTAGGGTAAAGTTGGTCACAGATTTCATGTCTTAATTAACCTACAATATTCCGTCATCTTAAATTGCCAAATGAGTCATTGATTAATTACTAAAGAAAAAGCAAGCAAAATATTCCGTTTTCAATGGGACTGTCCAGCGCCATTATCGAGAATATGCATTTTAACATGCGGTGTTATTAGCATTTATTCACAATAGAATATTACAGAGAAACAAGATTATTAAGTAAAACCAATAACGACTAAGATATGCGGCCACGCAGTGCATTACATTTGCTATTGGTATTATATAAACATTTAGAGCTGATTAGTGGCGTCGTGTTTCTGGTAACTAATATTTCATTAACCAGTTCGCATTGCACTGATATGAAGAATCCATATTCCGACATTTTCCCTTGAGAATTTTCTACACATATAATAACATAATTTAAATAGTGATACAAAAAGTTTGAGAGATTCTTCTGTTTTATTAATCAAGAGCTACTTCGGAAAAGCTAATATCTGATCAGTTTTATATTCGAAAAGTAAACAAAGCAACATCTAAAAATTAATGGATCTATTTTTAGTCCGACATTTTTGTTATTTCAAACGTTATTATGTTTTTTTTCTTCTCATATTCTCTAACCCCCTTGCGTCGTAGTGACTTTTTCGCCTTGCTTGGAATGAAATGATTAAAAAAAAATATTATAGTGTATACTCGTATTTGAAATAGACGAGTTTTATTTTGAAACAGTGTGTCTCACGTCTATCGGCTTGTGCGTCCGAGAAATATCGATAAATGTGCATTCTGGCAGATATCGAGCTTGTGCCCCCCCCCTCACTTTTGCAGGACACACACACAAACACATGCACACATATAAATGATTTTTTGGGCAGCATATGTTCATTCAAGTGTGTTTGGTTGAATAATATGGATATATTATATATATTTATTTTATTTTAATCCCCTCGAATTTTCTGATCAACTTCTTAATGTTGATATCAAATTCATTAAGAAAGACGCCGTAGATTTTTCATTTCTTTTATTTTCCCAAGTACTTTCATTCTTATCTGAGATAATTTCCATGAGTGAATTGCTAAGACAAAAATGAATGTAACTAGTTGTGATTTTTTTGTAAATGCGCATGAAACTCGCTCTGTTATAATTATTTAAACACGTAGGAACGAGCTCCTTTTACAATTAATTTAAAATTTAACTGTTGAAGTTATTATATTTTTCATGTTTTTATCTAAAGGAGGTAATTTTAATTTATATAACTGGAATTTTTTTAAAATTAGAATTTAAGTATTTACAAACACTGCTGTTATAGACATTATAAAACATTGTTGCTATATTCATAACTAACCTTATTCAGCGTTGGCAGTATTTTTCTTACATAAAATGCTTCCAGAATTTTAAGTTATTGTCTTTTATTTTCATGGTGGCGTATACTTTTATTGTAAATTAATTTTTTCCCTATATATATATATATATATATATATATATATATATATATATATATATATATATATATATATATAACCCTCGACCGCTTAGCCTTGGAGCGGGTATAATAGAGATCAACGTGTTCTATTGGACTTAGCAGTTTTCAATGAGCTTGTCTGAATCGTCTTCAAGAAGCGAGAGCAAGATATAAAAGGTCGGACAATCTAACAGTGATCTCATTCCACAATCCTTACTCTTGCTCCATATGTGGCCTTCTTTGTAAATCATTAGCGGGTCATAAGTGCCACTTAAGATTATTCCACAAAATTTCATAACTGAATCAATTAAGTTGTCTGATCCTCATACTTCGAAACCGACGGGAAAGTCTATTATATATATATATATATATAGCGCACATATATATTATGTGGTTATAAAATAACATTGGGATAAGTGAACATACACGTCAAACCGTTCAATCTTTGAATACGGGCATTTCTAAAGCGCGCCTGCCAACATATACGAAGTGTGCGAATTTCATTCCCTTTAACTTAGCCGATCCCTATTTGTTGCTGTTAACACCGTTTGTAAAATTATACACACTATGAGACTATATGGTATTAATGCTGGAGACCTTTCTGGGACACGTTTTCCGGTATAAATAAGTCTAGTGAATAAGGTGGATAATTCGTTTTTCTAATGGATTTCTTTGCGAGGAATGCGTGAAGGCTAACCGCAGTGTACATAGTGGAATATCATGCGAGAGTTCAGGTCTCTTCTTGCAAACATATTCTCTTAACCTTATCAGCACTATGAAATAAAACGCTCTTCTTAGCATTTTGCGCTGCCAAATTCTTACGCCATATTCTCGCCATTCCCTAAACTACCGGTTTCACTGAAAAATTTCGATTTCTTTATAAAATGTTCACGATACATCAATTATAATAGGTCAACCGTTTCACATTTTATTTTACTAAGCTTTACACAAAACTTGATATTAATGAACATCAACAGATTACTTTCACTCATTTCACGTTGAAAGTATCGCATGAACACATACATATTCCGCTACTGCTCGGCAACGAATGATTCATCTGGTCTGAAAGCGAAAGAAGTAAGACATAGATGTGAGTGCCAGACTCATTACCCCAGCGACACGTTGCGTTAATTCCGAGAAATAATTTGTAATAACTTGTGTATAAAAAAAAACAATTAAATATAAAAATTTATGTTTCCAAATAATGAAAAGACTTGCATGTTTTAAGAGAATTCATTCACATGCACTGTGTATATATCTATAAACATATATTTGAGCTATTGTTTAAATGTTCATTCTCTTATTCGCGTCCAGGAGGTTACATAATATATTTAAATTTATCGAATATATTTTCAGTTACACGCGCGCACATCGCGCACATCACACACACACACACACACACACAC